AAGATGAGGAAATACACGATAATAAGACCGATGAAGCACAAGCAGAAACTTTGTTCAGAGGTTGCCACTAATGATAATGCTCGTTTCTTGCTTCAAATTATTCCAGTATGTTTTATAACGTGTAACTAAATGTGTATGCACAGTATTTACAATTTTATCATCGAAGTTATTCATTCAATAATTCTGTTCTTATATTTATTATATATTTTATTATATCTACATAATTTTTTTTCAGGAAGGAAGTGATGTACGTCAATTTGTAACGTCTTTTATATCTTCCGAAAATACGAATGTTCAGCCATTCATCGTGTGTGTGCGAGGCTCAAGAAAAAATAAATATTTTGTTCAAGGGGACGGATGGTTTATAGAAGTCCCGGATAAAGCTGATCCCATAGTATCGTTCGACTTATTATTTAAGCTATTTTATGTGCTCAACGTATCTTATCCTGTATCTTTAAACAATTTTTTTAACTTTATCGATTTTTATATATTTAAAATCGCCAAAAAAACGAGCAGTGTAGTAACATCATTGCATGTAAACATTACAAATTTTCAAATTGAATAATATGTTCATATAATGCAATGACTACTTCATTATTTAACATTTTTTGTCATCTCATCTTTTCCCGACCATATTCAATAAATAAATATTTTCTTCTTGATTGGTGATTTCGATCAAATGAATATATCAATGTCAAATAATTTAATTTCATTGCTTTATTCATTGGATCGAAATTGCCAATAAAGAAAGAAATGTTTATCTTTATTTCGATTTCAATAGAAAATTCTCTTTTATTTCACTAGTTGAATCAGTGAATAAGCGAATAAGATATCCATTGATTTATGCAGTGACAAAGTAATGTCACTGATTCAAACAGAGAGTATGTACTGATTCGCAGTGGTATACTTATAACTTCAACAAATAGTGACTATTCACTGCAAATTAGTGAGTTTTCACTGTTTCAAATTAAGAGAGTAAATACAATATCTTGTTCGTGGCAAAATAGCAGATGATCCAATAACTCCGCAGACGTATATTGAGTGGGGTCTCCTTTAATAAATTACATCGCTACTTCACCGTAGATTGCGTATGTAAAGCCTCCAATTTTTAGACGTAATTTGAGACGAATCTAATAATAATTTTTAAATTAATTGTGGATCAAGCGAAATTATTTCTTTGTAATTGTAATTTCATATAATTATATATTTCTTATTAATGTTAATAGTATATTATGATATTAAATGCGCTGCAGCTGTTCGATTGACAGCAAGCACAAAATTAATGATTATCTTGTCAAACAGGAAATCATTCTGGTTTTTCATCTGTTCGCAAAAACACGCTTATATGTTCTCTCTCTCTCTTTCGTACACTACATAAATTATAATTATTCCTTACGTGTAATAAGAGAGTTTCTCGCTGAACACTAATCAATAACGACATAAAGTAATTATATCTTCGGTATATACGATTTAACCGGTGTACGTTGCAGTACGCGGAATTAATGAGACCGGCAGCTATCCAAATTTCAATCTAAATTACACGTTTGGAAAAATGCCAGCAGAAATGAAGTCAACAAAGACGGGCGGGAAGGGAAGTGAGTAAACTTGACCAGTGCATTCGATTTTGCGAGATCAGCAGGCTAATTTCCCTAATTCCCGGATCGCCGCGCTTAATTTCGGCAGAAATTAGGTAGATTTAATCCTCGCGGTGGTTGAAATTTATTGCAGCCTACATGCCGCGCGGCGCCGACAACGCTCGTGACTGGAAAAGTATTAAGTGGATTTGTGGAAATACCGTTGCGCTGCTGTCCTGCACGGATTACTTATACATTTGCTCGCTGAATAATTAGCTGTTGTGCCCCAGCAGCAACAAAAAAAAAAAGAGAGAGAAAAAGGATATATCCGTTCTCCCACGCAATGTAATTAATTTTATCTGCCCTCTGACATCTTACGCGGTTCCCACTATTCTAATAGTGCCGCACAGAATGAAAACATTTCCTCGTACTATGGAAAGCATTAAGAAAAACTTATAATTAATTATGTAAGTACTGCCGCGATATAATTATTTAATTATATTTGCGAGAAATTTCATCAATTGCGTGTAATATCATTAGCTCAAACTTCAATTATGTAATTTAAGTGCAGTTTGCAGCAATATATATTTAAAAATAATTATATTATAATAAAAAGAGCGTTAAAAAACCCCTAAAAGTTATGTGCGCAACTTTTATATTATTTATTACTCGATGATGTGTAATCTTATATGTGCAAACCTATCAATTCATGACGCCACGGGCGTTTCGTACAGAGCGACACAAAGGAGCACAAAGGACCATAAGCATCCTTCCCCTCCCATTATATGTGCGAAAAGAGGCGTTCGTGATCCCGCAATTGCGCCGAGGATAATTTGACAACAATCGACGGTCGGCAGTCTTTCGAGTTCGACTTACGATCGCGTGATGCACGATAAATAAATTCGTATACTCGCGGAAAAATCCGTTCGCGAAAAACGCGTAAATCAGGCGAGATTACACCGAGCGGACCGGGCCGAGGGGTTGCTACCCTCTATAAGCCTACGCTTGTTTTTGTCGTGATATTTTATAGGCTTGCAAAAGGGGCGCGGAAAAAGGCATGTCAAAAGCACGCTATCCACCTATCATTCTCATTCTGTTCGGATGGGTCCGTCTTACGACGAGATGTTCCTCTCTGCTGGCGACGCGGCAACGAGCAGAGAGTGGATTAAAACGCGGCACGGAGTTCGGAATATTGCGCCGCCCCGCGTGCATGCGCGCGATCTTTTCATCTCGATGGAAACGTCGAGGTAATCACGAGTGCTTTACGCCGGAAATTGCGTGGCGGGAAATGAAGTGTGGTATAAGTGTCTCGAATATATGCGCGACTATATAATGAAATATCGCGTAATACGGAATATCGTGTAAAAGCGCGGATTTTCTCGCTTAATATGTTGTCGCGAACATGTAAATTTTATTATTCGGAACGGTGTTACATAATAATCGCTTCAATATGAAATTATTTCCGACTTTGAGAGGTGTTTTTATATGTCAAGGTTTAAATATTAAAATCGTGAAAATTCTATATAACCTTATTATATAATATATAAATTTCTATGTTTGTTAAATATCTAAAAATTAATATTCAGAAAATTCATATCTTTGAAAGTGTTAGTGAAAAAATCATACTGCGAGTTTACAAGCGTCGCTATGCCAACGTTATAAGAATATAAAATAATTATACAAACACTGTGCAACTATTATAGACAGTTTTAAGAATCAATGGACCCAAGTTCCTAAAGTGCCTTAGATAATACATTTAATCAGCGATACTGATTAGTGATAACGTGTCGAACGATCCAATGGGTGTCGCAAGAATTATCAGCAACAAGGAAATAAATCAGTTGGCGGCGATTATTATTATTACCGGCGCCGGCATTAGGCGCCTCGCTAGAAGTGACGTAACGCGAATAAACTGCGCGAAGAAGAGAAACGTGATTACGGAAGAGACGCTCTCCCTCTCACTATCTCGAGGTCCAGGGTTTCTGCAGTCTTGCGGGGTCTTGGTTTACGAGGGTCGCCGTTATCTGATACGGCGAGCGGCGCCGAATGCCACCGCAGAGCCGCTCAGCCAGTCGCGCGTGCAAGTCTGGTTCAGCCAAGACCACCACAGCCAGAACCATCCTCGCAATTGCACTCTTGCTCTGGAGAGAGAGAGAGAGAGAGAGAGAGAGAGAGAGAGAGAGAGAGAGAGAGAGAGAGAGAGAGAGAGAGAGAGAGAGAGAGAGAGAGAGAGAGAGAGAGAGAGAGAGAGAGAGAGAGAGAGAGAGAGAGAGAGAGAGAGAGAGAGAGAGAGAGAGAGAGAGAGAGAGAGAGAGAGAGAGAGAGAGAGAGAGAGAGAGAGAGAGAGAGAGAGAGAGAGAGAGCGTAATAACTTCGTATAGCATACATTATACGAAGTTATACG